ACGAGTGCACTTGAAGTGAACGAACGAGAATTGCACTATCGAAGCAAGAATACAAATGAGCGAAGGCATGAGCGAACATTATAATAGCGAAACTACAGTGGTAACGGTAATGGTCGCGCGACGAGCCTGGGACTGAGGTTGGGAAAATGTCGAAGCGTAGGTCCGTGAGCGCAGGGTTACCAGCCGAGCCGTGAGGTCGGGGATGCGATGTGCCGAAAAAGGGCGGGATGATGAATGATGCGATGGTCGCGAGTGGTAACGGTGCTGACTGAGGTGCTACAGTGATGTACGCGTTGAGCAGGGACGCGAAGTAAGGAAAGGGAATTTCCTTACAAAACCTCAGTCTTCACTGCTCCATATTCTACTGACGGGACCATTACAAATGTTCGGATGCTGTTACTTGACATAATACAATATATATGGAAGTACATTGCTTGCTAGCTTTATATCTTCTTAGACAAGTATTTAGGATTCGTCTGAAAAGCTAGACAAGGTTACAGCTTTCGTCTGACAATCAGACAAGGAGCCAGGACCCCGGTCTTGACATCAGACGGGTCATTTTACTAAAGTTAGCCCTGCTAGTGGGACGAGCATCCGACCTTCCTCCAGCTCCCTCGAATCGAAAGCGGGCAGCAGTGATGCCAGGCGCCCCACCTCCTCCGCATACCGTATTCCCCGGGATGTAACACCCTTGGGTGTTATGTAAAACCCCTTGTAAAAAGGCAAAAAAAAAATACTACCCCGGTGTTTTCATATGACGGTAAAAACAAATGTGTTTAATGTTATCTAGGCTATACAGGGGCTGGGGGGTACAGAATTCACCTCAACACTCTTGCTTGTACCCCCATCCCTGACCTAAGGGCGTGTAAATTGTGTTAGAATAAGCAGGTAGGAATGGTGGACTAGGTAGCATGCATGAGTACAAGTACCTAACCCTAAAGTGTTGTACCCCTTTGTCAAAACATATTGTTTGTTCATGTTATATTAGGTTGTGTAGGGGTCACACCTTAGAGGGTACAACCCAACTCTCTCAACATCTTTGTACCCCCTCCCTCTTACCTAATCAACACTTCTTCCTAGCTAATCTCGACATGGTATTAAAAGCTAGGACGTTCCTAGCCTAGGACCGTAATTAAGGGCCCACCACATTTCGTTTTCACCTGCCCGACTATTGGTTTCTGCCCTGCCCAGCGTTTCGCGCTGTCCTGCCCTTTTCTGCCGTGCGCAGCCCTACAGTCGCGTAGGCCCAAGCACAGCCCGTACAGCCCGCCGCTAGGCAGTTTGCGCAGCCCGTACAGCCCACGCCAGGGCCCGCACCGCAGCCAGTACAGCCCGCGTAGGCCCGTCGCGAAGCCCCCGTACAGCCCGCGTAGGCCCGTCGCGAAGCCCGTACAGCCCGCGCCAGGCCATCACGCAGCCCGTACAGCCCACGTCAGGCCCGCATGCAAGCTCGTACAAGCCCGCGCCAGGCCCGCACGCAGCCCTTACAGCCCGCGCCTGGCCCGCACGCGGCCCTTGTTGTTACTGTTGCACTCGCTGCTGCTGCTACGCTGCTGCGCCTGAACTGATACTGCAGTGCTGTTGCCGCCTGTACTGCCCTGCTACTGCTGCTGCTACTTGCTGCAGCTGCTCCTCCTTGCTGCTGCTGCTGCTACTTGCTGCAGCTGCTCCTCCTTGCTGCTGCAGCTGATACTTGCTGCAGCTGCTCCTCCTTGCTACTGCTGCTGCTGCTACTAAGCGCCGGCTGCTGCTGCTGCTTGTCGCTGCTGCTCCGCCACTGAGTCCGAGCCGCGCCGGCCCAACCCGAGCTGTCACTGCTGCTGCTGCTGCTGCTGCTGCTGCTGCTGCTGCAAGAACTGCCTGCTACAGCTAGTGCTACTGCTGATGCTGCTGCTACTACTGCACTTGCTACAGCTGCTACTGCTGCCACTGCTACTGCTGCTATGGCTAACCTATCGGTTCTTACGTTCGATGCTGAGGGCCGCGCGATTACCTTTGATGTTTGGCTCGACGATCTCCAGCTGTTCTTGCAGAGCGAGTCTAAGGATGGTGTTTCCCTGTTTTTGCACACTGAGGGAAAGCTCCCACCCCCTGCTGCCGACGATGTAGAGGATCTGTCTAAGTGGCTCATGCGTGATGCAGCTGCCAGCCATGCTGTCCACAACCACCTGCCAGTCACTGAGCGCGCGCACTTAAGCCGGCAGAAAACGGCCAAGGATCTCTATGACGCTGTAGTTTCTCGCTACTCCTCCCCAGCGATTGCTGCTGTAGGTCGTCTCATGCTGCCGTACCTGCATACTGATCTAGCCAAGTTCCGCACGTCTCTGACCCTCTTCACCCACCTCCGCTCTAGTGAGGATTGCTTCCGTGCCGCTCTCAAGCCGGACTTTCTCGCTAAGAACCCCCCCGCCGCAGTACTTCAACCCTGTACTTCTTATCGCTCGCCTCCCTGACTCCCTTCGCACTGTCAGGGACCAGTTCCTAGCCGATGGACCCCACTGATATCACACTTGACTCGCTTGAGAAGGCCCTTCTCGAGGTTGAGAAGAGCACTGTCCCTGTCGCTGCCTCTCGGGCAACCCCCGCTCCCCCTTCTTTGAAGGGTGTACTCCCTCCCCACTCCTCCCCTCATTGCTACAGCTGCTGTTGTCGACCTCATTGGTGCTGAAGACGTTGGCGCTGCGTCTGCTCCTAGTGGACGGCGCAACAATAGCAAGGGCAGCGGGGGCAGGGGTGGTGGTGGTGGCACCAGCGGAGGGGATGGCGGGGGTGGTGGACGGGGGGGTGGTGGAGGCTCTGGGGTTGGCTCTGGGTGTGGCGGCAGTGGAGGAGGCGGACAGGGTGGAGGAGGCGGCGGTGGTGGGGGAGGCGGTTGGTGTAGCGGGGGGAGGCGGAGGAGGTCGGGGTGGGTCTGGCAGAGTGGTGGCGCTCGTGGACCCTCCCGTGGCTACGGGAAGTGGTCAGTAGCTGCCGCGCCTCCCGGACAACCCCACCGACCAGCAGCTCCAGTGAGTTGGTTCTCCCAGCGTGAGGGCTCTGGTTGCTGCCCTTATGTCCGGCGCACGGGCCTCTGAAGGGCACAGTCTGCGGGAAGCCGCACACTGAGTACAAGTGCTTCGGCCGTCTTGAGGACGCTTGGGTGACTGAGTACACCGAGGACCAGCAGGTCCAAACTGGCTGCAGCTGATAGGGAAAGGTGGTAGATGCTGCTCTCTATGCTATGTATGTTGCTGATTATAGTGTTGAGGGTGCGTGTTACTCTTGTGTGCCATGCGATGCGGTGGTGATGCTGCTCCCCAGGTGCTAGTGAGTCTGCTGCCGCCCTAGGTGCTAGTGTCGCTTACTGCCCCAGGTGCTAGTGAGTGTGCTGCTATTGCTGAGGTCTTGCACACTTTCACACTTGACTCTGGTGCGTCCCGTTGCTTCTTGCGACTGCACCACTGTCACCCCACTCACTACACCAGTCCCAGTCTCACTGGTGGAACCCTCTGGGGGCCCAGTGGTTGCACGCCACTCCACTGTCCTCCCGTGCCCAGCTATCCCCTCTGGCTCCTATCCGGTCTCCACCTCCCCTCTGTTCTCGACGAACCTGATGAGCAACGCCGTCCTTCAGGATGTATGGGTTGACACCTTTACTCCTGGAGGTCAGCGTGTGGGTGATTTGCACATGCGCCAAGACAGGCCGTCACCTGACTACGTTCACATGACAGCCGGGGTCGAAACTGTACACACTCACCATAGCGTCTGCATAGGTAGTTGCGTCCGGATCAGCTCGCTGCGTCCTACTCGTGTCGGCCTCCTCACCCACCCTGCGCAGCTTTGGCACCACCGTCTTGGCCACCCCGTTCGCAGCTGCGCCTGCGCGGTTTTGCACTCCCGGCTCTTGGTCTCTGGCCTCCCTGCGACCCGCCCCCCCTCCAGTGCTCGCTTGCACCGCCGTGCCTTCCTTGCGTCGAGGGGTGGCAGCGCGCCGCTCCTCATTCCTCCGAGTTTCCTCTGGACCACTGCTCCTCTGTAGACTCTCCACCTGGACGTGTTGGGCCCGGCCCCCGTCGGTGGAACGGACCAGGAGCGCTACTTCCTGCTGGTGGTTGACGACTACACACGCTACACCACAGTCTTCCCTTTGCGGCACAAGGCGGATGTCAGTGGTGTCTTGATCCCCTTGATCCGTGCTACTCGTCACCAGTTTCGCGAACGGTTATCGGCGGGACTTTCCAGTCCTGCGTGGTGAGTTCTCCTCTGGCGTCCTTAAGACGTTCTGCCAGGATGAGGGCATTGCCCAGTGCGTTCACGCTTCCGTCCTCTTCCACAGCAAAATGGGATCGCTGAGCGTCGCATTGGCCTGATCATGGAGGTTGCTCATACCTCCATGATCCATGCGGCTGCTCTCCATTTCCAGTGGTCGTTTGCGGTCCGATACGCCGCGCATCAGCTCAACCTCTTGGCCCCGTGTCTCTGCTCCAGAGACCTCGCACACACTCTGTTGGATGGGACAGCCTGGTGATGCGTCGTCGTTTTGGGTCTGGGGCGCGCTCTCCGTTGTTCGCGGATACCAAAGCGAGCAAGCTCTCGCCTCGCACTCTCCACGCGTGTCTTCCTGGGCTTCCCCACCGACGCTCCACCCTGGTAGTTCTACCACCCTGCCTCGCATCGTGTTCTGTCCTCTCAGGACGTCACCTTCGCCGAGTCGGTCTGTTACTTACCGACTTCACCCGCACGCGTCTCACCCGGTCCCCCTCACACCTCTCGCTCCTTGGTACCAGTCCCCCACCCGGTAGACCCCCCTTCCCCCACAGGGTCCTGCTCCCTCATGTGTGTCTCAGGTAGACCCACCCCCCGTGGATGAGCCAGTTGAGATCTCTTCTGACTCCTCTGACTCACTTGAGGGGGGTGACGCCGTCGCCGACGACACGGCGACCACTCGCCGCACTCCTCGCTTGGAGGACTACCCCGGGTTTCCGCCACGACCGTCTTCGCCGCCTCCGCAGCCTGCTGCTATGGACTCTGGAGCTGAGACTACTGGAGCTGGGGCTGGGGGTGGTGAGTTTGGGGTTGCCCGCTCTCCCTCGTCTGGCTACACCCCCGGGTTTCCCACCTCTGCCGTCCTTCGCCGCCTCTGCAGCCTGCTGCTTGTGACACTGGTGCTGGGACTGAGGGTACTGAGCCTGGGGGTGCTGGGACTGAGGGTACTGAGGACCGAGAGTTTTGACTCTGGGGGTGCTGCGAGTCCTTCTGGTGTTGGTGTCGTCGGAGCTCCTACCGGAGGACCTGGAGCTGTTGGTGCTGGAGGTGCTGGAGTTGCTCAGGGTACTGGAGCTGCTGTTGGTGCTGGTGCTGGAGGTCCTGGAGGTGGTGTTGGTGCTGGAGGCCGTGGGGCTGCTGGTGCTGGAGGTACTGGAGGTGCTGCTGGTGCTGGAGGTGGGAGAGCTGCTGGTACTGGGGGTACTGGAGGAGCTGCTACTGCTGGAGCTGGAGGTGCTGGAGGCGCTGGAGGTTCTGGAGGTGCTACTGGTGCTAGAGGACGTGTAGCTACTGGGGCTGGAGGTGCTAGAGGTATTGGAGGTCCTGGTGAAGCTACTGGTGCTCTTTGCCACCTCCTCAGTCTTCAGTCAGGTGCTACTGGCTTCCCTGTGGCAGGTACTACTCTTCCGTTGCTGTGTCCACCGGCGGACCAGTCACTGCCGCCATTGCTAACGCACTCCCCAGTGCTTGCTCATGCTCCATATACTGCGTTGTCAGAGTCACTGACTGAGCGTCGAGAGCTTGAGACTCGTGCTTCCACCCCTGAGCGTCGAGAGCCTGAGTCTAGCTTTGACTTTGAGCCTGAGCCTAGAGCTGTTGTCCGTGCTCGTGTTCCTCGTGTTCGTCGTCCGCGTGCTCTGGCTGTCCCCGGCACTCACGATATGACACTCCGTCCTTCCTCTGTTCCTCAGCGTGTTGTCCTACACCTCCTGCGACCTCTCTGCCTGACGTTGCCGACCCTCCGTCTGACCTTGCTCGTGCGTCCAGTCCGACTGTTACTCGCCTTCTTGCTACAGTTGTGACGGACCCTACGTTCTCTTCTCCAGCCGCGTCTGCCCTAGTGGCTGAGCTCGTTGACTTTGGTGCTGTGTACCGCCTCGACTACCTTGCGAGTCTTGTCTCTAACCCTGTCCCTGCCTATCCTCCGTCTGTCGGGGGTGAGACTGCCCTTGGCTGTACTGACCTTGGCTGTGACGTTCTTGAGGACAGACAGGAGGACCTGGAGTGCCTTACGGCCGCTTCACCCCATCACGCAACCATGCTGCTTGCCCTGAGGAAGACCCGGATGCACTTGACATCCCCACCCCACGCTCCTACGGGAGGCGATTTTGGGCGAGTACTCCTCTCAGTGGTAGACAGTTATGGACGCAGAGATGGCATCCTAGAAGTCCACATGCACCTACGTCAACGAGGTTCCCCCGCTTGGGGCGAACATCGTCAGTGGCATGTGGATTTTCAGGGTGAAGCGGCCGCCTGGTTTCTCCGCCTGCCTTCAAGGCACGTTACGTTGCTCGAGGCTTCACTCAGCGTGAGAGGATCGACTTCTTTTAGACCTTCTCCCCCACCCCAAAGATGACCACTCTTCGGGTGTTGCTACACGTTGCAGCTCAGCGTGACTACGAGCTGCACTCCCTCGACTTCTCGACAGCTTTCTTGCAGGGTAGCCTTCACGAGGCCATCTGGTTGCACCGTCCACATGGCTTCACTCGGTCGTTTCCTCCTGGTATCCAGTGGAGCCTACGGCGACCAGTGTACGGCCTGCGTCAGGCGCCCCGCGAGTGGCACGACACACTGAGGACGACACTTGCGGCTCTTGGGTTTGCTCCTTCGACTGCTGACTTGTCGCTGTTTCTACGCACCGACACTACTCTGCCGTCGTTCTACATCCTCGTGTACATTGACAACTTGGTTTTTGCTATTGCTGACACCTGAGACACTGGCCCGAGTGAAGGCGGAGCTGCAAGAGAGACACACTTGGACTGACCAGGGTGAGTTGCAGAGCTATCTTGGCTTGCAGATCACCCGGGACAGAGCACCGCGCACCATCACCCTGACTCTGTCACACATGGTGCACCAGGTCCTTTAGCGCTTCGGCTTCCAGTTCTCCTCGCCACAGCCCACTCCTCTGTCTACCGGCCACTCGCTCTCAGCTCCACCTTCTGATGAGTCGGTAGAGCCGAGTGGTCCGTACCCAGAGCTTGTGGGTTGCCTCATTTACCTGATGACGTGCACACGACCTGACCTCACGTACTCTCTCAGCCTTCTGGCTTGCTACGTGGCTCCTGGTAGACACCAAAAGGTGCACTGGGATGCTGCGAAGAGGGTACTTGCGTTACTTGTGCAGTACATCGGGCATGGGGCTCGTGCTTGGAGGACGGAGTTTAGTGGTACTCACCGGACACTTTGACGCTTCTTGGGTTGATGACCAGGCGACTCAACGTTCGTGACAGGGTTACACCTTCAGTCTTGGCTCATGTTCGGTCTCGTGGAGGTCCACTCGTTCTTCCTCTCTAGCTGCGAGGCTGAGATCTACGCGGGGGCCATGGCTGCACAGGAGCTACGCTGGCTGACCTACCTGCTGACCGACTTGGGGGAGCGGCCTCGTTCTCCTCCAGTTCTGTACGTCGACAACAAGGCAATGCTTGCCTTGTGTTGTGAGCAGATACTGGAGCACAGAACGAAGCACATTGCTCTTCGCTACTTCCTTGCGTGTGAGCTGCAGCAACGTGGTCATTTGCGTCTTGCTTACGTGGCCGCTCGAGCCCAACACTGCTGATGTCTTCACCAAGGCCCTTGGGTCTGGTGATCATCAGCGTTTCTGCACTGCTCTTGGGCTTGTGCCCGCTCTGCCTCACCTGCTGGTTGCTTGACTTGCTCTTGTTGTACACTGCTATATATATTTATACCTGCATGTTTACTCCTGCTAGGTTGTGATCAGTGTACTGCCTTGCGATTTATAAATCTGCACGTGAACTGGTCTTGTGGTTGCCTGCTTGTGCTCAGATTGTGTGGTGTCCTTGAGATCCACCCTGGGCTTTGCCCTGCTTGTTCTCTTGCTTGACTGGTCTTGTGACCAGTTTTTGGTTTGGCTATCCCCTACTTCACCTATGGGGGTGTGTTAAAACATATTGTTTGTTCATGTTACTTTAGGTTGTGTAGGGGTCACACCTTAGAGGGTACAACCCAACTCTCTCGACATCCTTGTACCCCCTCCCTCTTACCTAATCAACACTTCTTCCTAGCTAATATCGACACCCTTGTAGGCTAACTCACTATAGCCTAGAGAGAACACAAACGTATAGTTTTGACAAATTGTACCGACCAACCCAAATGGTCGACCATTTGGGCGGGACTGGCGATTGCGAGGGATTAGAATTACCCCAATTTGAGTAGTCATCCTGATTTGACCGAATTGCAACAGTATTTACGCATAGAAATGTCCGCTACACATTTTGGGACCGAACCAGACTTATCCCAGCGGGAAGAAAAGCTTTGTGCTTGCCTAAACCCCTTGCTTTGTTAAGCACCCTAGCGTAGGCTTCCAATCCCCCTGTATTCCTCCCCATTCGAATGCAGTAAAAGGAATCAAAACTTTCGCTATTAAATAAGAGGGTGGTTTGAAGAGGGTGCCCCCAGTTGCTGACGAAATGTTTTGGCGGGTTCCGCTTATGCGTTACACGTTCGCAATCGCCGGAAAAACGCAAATGGTAGGAAAATTCGTTTGGTCATTACAAGTTTACATGCCCTAATCTACTCATTCCCGTTTTCTATGTTTACATGGTTTCAGAGTAGGTCTCGTTCTAGGACCGTTTTTTTTTCGGGCCCACCGATTAGTTCAGTTCCTGACCGGTGTTCGTTTTTTCCCTTCCTTGCCCGACGTTTCTGCCCTGCCCAGGCCGTCACGCTGCTGCCCTGCCCTGCCCGACGTGCTGTCACGCTGCCCTTCCCAAAGCTGCGCGTTGTCGCGCGTGCCCCGCTGTCCAGCGCCCGTGCGCGCCCCGCTGCCCAGCGCCCGTGCACGCCCCACTGCCCAGCCCCCGTGCGCCCTTGCCCTGCCATGCAAGCGCTTGCCAGCGCCTGTAGCTACCGCCCGCTCGCTGCCCTGCGCCATGCGCTGCCTCGCGCGCGACTACCCTGCCCTGCCCAGTGCAATCGCGCTGCCCTGACCTGCTGCCCCGCGCATCACCGCACGCCCTTGCGGCGCGCCACTAGCGCACGCTGCTTCACGAGCGTCGCTGCCCTGCCGCGCTGCCCGCGATCTGATCTGCTGCGCTGCCTGTGCACTGCCCACGCAATGCCACCGCGCTGCGCACGCTGCTTGCGCTGCCTACTGCTGCACTGCTTCGCCCGCTGTTCGCACACTGCTAGCACGCCTCGTGCTGCCCTGCGCGCTGCACCGCTCACGCCGCCCTGCCCCTATCGTGAGCTGCAGCCCACTGCTTCGCTGCTGCTGCGTGAGCTGCTGCCCTGCCTAGCCACCGCTCAGCACTGCTGCAGCTGCTTGTGCTACTGCAGCCCGCTACTGCACCAACCATGGAGTCTCAGAGTCTCAGGCAAAGACCCGCATCACCAACCATGGAGTACATAACTTGAGTTCTCATGTCCTGACTCCAGCTGAACACAATGTCCTTGGACTGGGTCTTTTCTCCCTCTGACATCTCTAAATATGTTACGAACCTATTCAGATCTATAAGACTCCAGAAGTTCTTCAAAGGAGAAGGCCGTTCCGACAAGCCGTTTCCGTGTTAGCAACCCGAATTGGCTATCTAAAGAGGATGAGCAGTTGGAGGCAGTGTTTGAGGAAACAAGGAAAGACTTATCGTTACTATTTACTCAAACCTTTTGTTCGAGGAGGGCCTTACCTTCTAATGGATATTATTAGGCCATAAATGAGCTCTCTTCCAACACCAACCTTATCATTAAGCCGGCTGACAAGAACTCAGGAATCACCTTGATGGCTATATCTTCTTACATCACTGAGTGCTTTAACCAATTAGTGGACAGGAACACTTACGAAGAAGTTTCAAGGATCCCCGAGCCACAATTTTAGCCAAAACTGTTCGATATCCTTCTTAACTTCGAGCCACTGCTGCTTAAATACCTCTGGAACTTCTTTCAACATCCTCTGGCCAGCGGCTGGAAACCCGCCATTTTTTACGTCATCATGAAAGTCCACAAGAAAGTACCCTGGACGGCCTATTGCTGCGTCACATTCATGGGTTACCGCGAATGTTAGTCGATGGCTTGACACGGCCTTACGACCACTCGTACTCTGGCAGCCTATGTACCTGAAGGATTCCTTGTCGTTGCATCTCCATTTGGAAAAAAACCCTATCCCGAAAAGCAGCCTCTTCCTCGCCACTTATGATGTTTAAGCTCTTTACCTGTCCATTCCGCTCCGGGAAAGTGTCGATGTTGTGAGATCCTTTCAGGAACGCGACCCTCTGCACTTCCCGAACGCACCTGTCATTGTTGCGCTGCTGGAAGTGGGTGATGTTTAATCCATTCGTGGATTTTGAAGGGAGACTTTTTTGGCAGACTCAAGGGACAGCAATGGGAACCTCCGTAGCTGTTTCTACGAGCACGCATGGAAACAAACTTCCTCTGCTTCACCTCCGGTACATTGATGACGCCTTCATCTGCTGGAGGGGAGTAGGGAAGGGCTAGAGGAGTACCTCGCTACTTTCAATACACCTCGACAATCCATCAAGCTCACCTGGAACGTCTCGG